ATGATAATAATAATTCTGATAACTTTCCCAGAACAGCTGGATTGAAATCCTTGCCACAGTCTAAACACTGCGTGAGTCACTCTTGCAGAAAATTGGATTTTATAATACCATTTTCTTCATTTTTTGCTGGGGTGAATTTTGTCTATCTACATTTGCACAGAATGAATTTCTTAGTAACAGTCAAAATCCACTGATAACCAAAGAAATATGGTTGCATTTAGTATGAGAGCAGACAAAAAGAAAAACCCCATTTTATAAAAGCTCCCTGGTGACAAAAGGTTTTTGAAACGGTCTGAAATGCAACTCTTGGAACTCTGTGAACTTGTTTCTGAATGCATTCTTGATGCATTGTTTGTAATTACGTGTATATAGCTTGCTATAAACCTGCATCATTATGCAAACACTGGATAACATGTAAGGTTGCCCAAAAACATGGTCTTTCAGAACTGCAAGTACTAATGTAATCTAAAAGTCATTTGCTTTGGCATGGGTCTAGTGCACACATGCAGAGAGGCATTGATTGACTGGTGTGATGTGTGACTGAACTGGCACCCCTGTTATCATACTCCATCCTGTTTGTCGAAATGCTTTCTTCACCTTGGTGATAACAAAAAATTATATTAAACACAATTATGTAATGAATTCTAACGTTCTGTAGTTGCTCAGTTACTAACAGGCTGGCACAATCACAGTTTGAGATCATACTGGCGTCTATTGACCAAAGCTTATAAAGGCAAGTATAAGTTGCTGAGAGAATACAAGAATGAACCTTCCTGGAGTAGCAGACACAAGATCTGCTTGATTTTATGCTGTGTGTGTTTTTGTAAAGCTAGCAATATAATTGACAAATGAAGCAGGTCACTAGAAGTTGAGAAGAGCAATATATTAGTTTCAGTTCAAGTGTAAAGTTACTGCAGTAAATAAGGCTACAGACTTACCATAAAAATGTCTACAAATCAAACCCCTGAACGGTAAAGATTTTAAAAACATAATTTAAAAAGCTTTTTCCAGATATTAAAGTGAAAAGAAGCTCGAGAGGAATCCTTCCAATTTAATGGAATCTGTAAAGAGCGGAAGTCTAATACTACAACCTAACAATTTCTTAAAATTAGTGAACCTCAAGTCTCAGAGCTCTTCTTTATTTGCTTTCGTATACATCTGAATGCCCTAAATGAAAAGAGGTTGACCTTTCCCTCCACTCTTCAACCCCAATTTGTATTTTTCACCATTACCGGTGAAACCGCTAAATTGTTGGGAAAACAAAAGAGTTCATTCCCTAACAGTCTTAAAGTCCCTGACAGGGTTTCACTTGTATTATAGCAAGTTAAAGGGTTAGTTCACCCAAAAATTAAAATTAGTTTGCGTTTTACTCACCCCCGATGTATCCTAGGTGTATATGACTTTCTTCTTTCAGATGAATCCAGTCGGAGTTATATTAAAAATTGTCTTTGATCTTTCAAGCTCTATCGTTGCACTCAGCGGGTGTTGCATTGCTTCAGTCCAAAAGACGTGAAATAAAAAGCACCCTTCCATAAAAAAAAGTGTCTCACACGGCTCTGGGGGGTGAACAAAGGCCTCTTGTAGCGAATCGATGCATTTTTGTAAGAAAAATATCCATATTCAAAATGTAATAATCACTTGAATCTAGCTTGCGCTCACTGTTGTAAAACGGAAGAAGTTTCGGGGGAATTACATATGAGGTCAGCTTTGCGCATGCGCCGCTCAGAAGTGACGCACGCGGAGAGATCGAAACAAAACAACGGTCACTAATTAGAAGTACAAAACGAGGATTTGTAAAGAAGAATGTCGGAGGATTTTGATATAAGCCAAGAGGAGACTGGTTTTCCTTTGCTAAAGTAAGGAAACTTTGCTTCCTTTGATCCTGTAAACAAACGTTGGTTTTCACGAGACTCACCGGCGCATGCGCAAAGCTGACCTCATACGTCATCCGCCCAGAGCTGCTTCCGTGTACAACTGCTACCACAAGCTAGATTCAAGGGATTATTACATTTTGAATATGGATATTTTTCTTACAAAAACGCATCGATTTGCTACAGGAGGCCTTTGTTCACCCCCCGGAGCCGTGTGAGACACTTTTTTCTGTGGAAGGGTGCTTTTTATTTCACGTCATGTGAACCTAAGCACTGCAACACCCACCGAGTACAACGATAGAGCTTGAAAGATCAAAGACAATTTTTAATATAACTCCGACTGGATTCGTCTGAAAGAAGAAAGTCATATACACCTAGGATGCATCTGGGGTGAGTAAAGCGCAGCCTAATTTTCATTTTTGGGTGAACTAACCCTTTAAGGTTGCATTGTGTATAAGCATCACTAGGGAAACAAATGTTTAAAGAAATGTTCTTTAGATGTTAAGAGCTCTTCAAAATGTGGAATATATCAAAACCACTGGTTCATTTTGAATAGGTACACTGCAATGATGTGATTTGACCCATTATGGTGCTTTCACTGTGCTAATGTTGAACAGTTTTGCAAGGCAAAATAGTAGATAAGACCTTCTGATTCATCTGATGGCATTGCAGAGGATGTGGTGACCTGTAAGTAGGGGGTTGGCGGCACAAATCCATTAATGACTCACAATCCATTGATGGTGTTTTCACTTGGAAACACCTGCTGAATGTACACCACTCTCACAGATGGGAAAAGCATTCAGATGTTGCACTTTATGTTACTCAGGAAATTAAGAATGTTTTTTGAGGGCTGATGAAATAACTGGTGATGGTATAAAAAAAGAGTTGTTTGAATGCTTCAACCTGAGGGCTTTGTCAAACGAAAAGTCAGCAAAAGTGGGGTTCGGTGTAAAGTATGAATTTTACATTTTATTGTGTTGTGTTTGGGTTAAAGGAAATGTGAAATGTCAATAAACATAACAGAAAATCAGGTTTACACACTGAATATGTTAAGATGAGGTTAGTCTATATAATGAAGGTTGATTTAAACCAAAAAATGTAAATTAAAATTAAACGTGTTCTCAAGACAAGGCTGTTTTTATAATGTCAGGTTGGAATTTGATTTAATTCAATTACTGGCCAAAACAATAGTTTCATATTTTGTACAATGTCTACATTTTTGCTGTATTTTTTTGTTCAGCTGTTTTATGTTTTATATTGTAGTTTTGCTGTTTAAATAGTGCTGAAAAGCCTGGACAGGCTGTTTAATGGCAGGTTCCCTATGTGACAACTTACCCCATATAGGGTCATGCTGGACACAAAGGGTCGGCATTTGCTAAATAAACATTACCTGGACAATCATGATGAAAACTTTGTATGTAGCAAGAAATCAAGTTATGTGCCTATACAAAAATTCACAAATAAACCTACTCTGAGAAATATTTAGTAAAAAGTGTGACAACCTGCCCTGGCCTCAGTCACAACAAGACGCTCATGTATTGCCCGTCCCTTTAGGAATTAAAGGGTGTTCAGAATAAAATACTGCTTTTTTCCTTTCTTCAAGGCTAAAAGTGAGCAGATATCTCACTTAAACAGGACTGTGCTGATTGGGCGATTATTCACGAACGGAGTTCAGTGTCGCGTTACGCGTGCGCCCTGCGCAAGCTCCAGTGCGCGAGTTGCGAGTCGCGCAAAGTCAACACAGTGATGCTTTCCATACGCTACATGATTTGTGTCAATAACTGCGTAGTTTATCTGTCAGCTAGAGACGATTCCGCCTGCTTCACCAACAATAGCGGCATTATTGCAGAGGGTCCATCAAAATGCCAAAGCGATAAAAATGCGAGTCATTTGAATGACTTCAAATGCTCAAAGACATTAAGAAAAACAAAGAACGCAATACATTTGACTAAAACGCGATCCGGTGGTAACGCTTTAGCAGACAGTTGAAATATAACACTGCAAGGATTACTGAATGAAACAAAAAGATAAAGAAAAACAAACTGTCATTTGCCAAGGCCAGTAATGATCTTTAGACTTGCGTAATCAGACTTGGGTTCATTAGAATAACAGGACTGGGGTCATATGGATGCCATGTTATTTAATGGACCGGTTTACTCATTTAAAATGAAATAAATCGTTATGTCTTAGCGGATCTTTTTGTGTAATATATTATAAGGATGTGCCAGACGCTGGTTTTTAAGGAGTTTGGTAACTTTTGAGCTTGTCAAGCAGGACAACCAGCTTGGCAAGCCCATCTTAAACAACCAGCAAATCATCCAAGTCAGGTTTAAAACGCTGATTTTTGTTTTTCATAGAAATATTGTAAACATTCTGTAGCTGTCTAGCTATTGTGATAAATAGTAAGCAATGTTTGGTACACTCTTAAAAATAAAGGTGCTTCAAAAGGTTCTTCAAGCGATGCCATAGAAGAACCATTTTTGGTTCCACAAAGAACCATTCAGTCAAAGGTTGTGTCTTTCTTACCTTTTTATAATCTGAAGAACCTTCTTTCGCCACAAAGAACCTTTTGTGAAACAGAAAGGTTCTTCAGATGTTAAAGGCTCTTTATGGAACCATTTAGACAAAAAAAAAAAAGGTTATTTTATGGCATCGTGAAGCACCTTTATTTTTAAGAGTGTATTAAAGAATAAATACCGTGCTGGTTTGTTGTCTGGTTGCTGGTTTTAGAGGGGTTCATGCACTTTTAGCTCTTTCTTTCTTTCTTTCTTTCTTCGTTCAGTAGGGTAAAGTTGAACTGAAGCGCACATGAGCTCTGTTGTGACGTTATGGAGGATCAAATATGCCACGCGCTCTTTGAAGTGGACGTGTGTATTTGTATATGACAACAGTGCGCGGATGTGAGTGTTTTCCCAATCACCTTTCCCAAGTCAAATAGAACAGCAAACTTTACGCCATATGAGAAGCCCATTTAAATGCTACGGATCAATGAATGAAAGTTTGTGCTGAGGCTGTGTTGGAGCGCCTGCTGTGATGTGATTGGGCTGAGCGGCGAGCTCGTGATGCTCGGGCATATATAAAGGGCGACCTGCGCTCCTGTCATGCACGCGGCTGGAAGAAGAAATCGCTGAAGAGATCAGCCGGACAGCCAGAGCCTTCATGATACTGCCCACATCACACGCATTTCCTCAACGAAGTCGCCGAGAACACGTACCGTACAGCGCGCGAGACATAAAGGAAATCCTCTTTTATTGCCCTTCATAAAAGCCCCAGTGTCATTTAGTGAGAGATGCCGCTAAGGACCGGACTTCTGCTGCTCGCCGTGCTCATCGCCTCCGCGTATGAACTGGATCAGAACGAATCCTACTCGCCCAGGAGAGCACGCTTCTCCCACAACAGCCCCTGTAAGTAGGAAGCGTTCGGGAATAATGAGCCGGTTGTGTGCTGACACGCATGCATTGGGTTCGCTTGGTGGAGGCTAGATCATATGAGAGCTGTCATATATCTATGATGAGCTCTCATCCAATGCATCTATTGACCTGATCTATGACAGATGCATCAGTGGATATCGTGTTCATCCTCTGACCTGCATATGAGGGACTCATCATAGCTCATGATGAGCTTCTTTTGATGCATTGAGCGCGATGAATGAATGTGCATGATGATTCCGCCGCGGCTTTCAGCCTCAAAAGCAGGAGTTTCTATTGGGGAGAAAATGCTAGAGTAAAAACCTGTTCATTGGTTACCTTACCACATACCGTAAAAATAGTATAGGATCTTTTAAAGACAATACTTTTAATGTAAAATTGTAAAATAAATAAAATAAAATAAATTATAATTACCTTAGAATTGAATAGAAAATGTATATACACGTTCCTTGTAAGTAAAAAAGTATCAATTGCATTATTGTCATTTAACTTTAGGCAAGTCAGTTCAGAATAAAATTATTATTTACAACAACAGCCAGGCATATGTGGAGAATATTTTTTATTATTAAATTCAACAACGCAATGCAATACAATTATGCATATTACACATCAGTACACTGAAAGAAATGGTGTAGAATCAATTTTCCATGAAATTAAACATGAAAATTTGAAGTAGAAAGACTGAAATTTTTTTTTTTTTTTTGAAAACGTAACTAATCTTTATTTACAACTTTGAAAAAAAATAATTTTATATATATATATATATATATATATATATTGTATATAAAGTGTATAAAGTATGGACCATATTATAATTTACATTAGAAAGCATATATTTTATGGCACAAAATATGAATCATCTCTTAATTTATTGAGAATTGTTCCCAGAATTCCCTGGGTAAATCATCACATTTATTTATATTTCCCAGTCCTTTAATTGGATTGATCGAACAAGATACTAAGAGTTCTGATATTTCATATAACAGCACTGGGGCACTTCACTGTTTGTACTGCTCCATTTGTCTGTTTTGCTGTGTGAATTGCAACATGCAAAGCTTTATGCTTTGGCTTCTTTTGTTACATAATTGGCCAAATTCTATATGAAATTTGAATATTAACTTCTTTCTGTGTCCTGAATATCAGTGTGGCTTTATCACAGGAAATCCCAATCATGCTGATATTCACTACTACAGCATTCTTTCTTGTGTGATAATTGGATCATTGTGTGTGTTACTCAGTTACTGGTGTTTTACATTTGTGTGGGTGACACTGGTTCTGTCTTAATGTTATTATTAGGTACAGTTGCCGATTTTTATGGATTTAAGTCATCATGTTGTCTTCCATAATGTTATTACCACATTTTACAGTAACAGACAGATTCCAATAGCTTACATATGTTGGTATATTGACATTATATCATTTAATAATATATCATTATATAATTTTGACAACCACAACTACCAAGTTACAGTAAAAATTTCTGTAAAAGTTTTTTTTTTTTCTGTCATACTGTATTTTTAGTTATGGCATCATATTGGACAGGCAGATTTGTCAATGTATATAATTCAAAACCTGCAGAATCCTAATATGATCAAAACCAAACCAGAGTGAAATCCCAAAAGTGATACAGTTAAACTCTCTTATACCCAGCAGAAATGTTTTAAAACATTTCCACATGCATTCAAATCATTACAGTACTTTCTTTCTAGATATCTATAAAGCATTGTTCCATTCCTGATGTAGGTTAATAATTATCTGTGAAAGAGTTTGAGGTAGATCCAGTGAGTGGTTTGTATATGAAAGGCCTTCCCCAGTGAGGTCATATAAGCATGCTTCAAGTTTCAGCTCTCATCGCATTCACCTGAGCCAGCTAACAGAGGTCTTCAGGTTCATTTGAAAATGACAGGTTGTACAGGTAGAGAACTGGAGGGCGAGCAGCTCGCTTACACTAACTTTTAATCGACTAAGCACAATGGATGCTTTAAATGTCATTGTGTGCACCTGAAAGGTCCCAACACTATTAAAGATGATGAATTGTTCTGACCTGCTGCTCATTATATTGAAACTGAAGATCTGGTGTCAGTGTTACAAAAGGTTCTTGCTTTATCTTGAATGAAGTCAGTAATTAATATGCTGCAGAGAAAACCTCGTCCAAGTGTCAAAAAGTGGATCTGTGTGTGGTGTGGGACACTCTGTTCTGTGTCTGGTCGGGAAACCTTTGTCAAACTCCACTTGGTATTTGCATAACTTCCTGTTGTATTTAGTTGTCAGAGAGACATGTACTGACTCAGTACTTTTGAGACAAAGAGACAGTGGTGCACTAATAATTCCAAAAGATCCTTTTATCCTAAAAAGTCCATTCTTTTCATTTCAGTTCTTAATGCTGAAATCAAAATGAGAAGCTGCATTAAATAAATCATTATATATTTTATGGAGTTCATTCCTTTACAACTGGACTTTATGTCTCATTTTCTGAAGACGTTTCGGTGTCAATGCCATCATCAGTTGTAAGTTGATGACAGGGTTACCATACGTGCTCTTTTTCCTGAACATGTCAGGATTTTTAAATTGCCTAATATGTCCAGGTTTTGGTTTTGTAGTCAAAATTGACCTAGTGTGCAGGCATTATACATAATGCCTGACCAGTCGTCGTGTGCAAGTAGGTGGGATCTGCAGAGAACTGTCAAAGCAATGCAGATACATGTACATATAATGTATGAGGACTGTGAAGCATGTCAATAGGAAAACAAAGCCAAAACCCAGACATTTTAGGCAATTTAGAAATCCCGACCAGGACATGTGCAAAACAAAAGAGGACACCCTAGTTCAAGGAATAGTTCATCCAAAAAAATGAAAAATCTGTCATCAGATCTGTCAAGTTTCTTTCTTCTCTTGAACATAAAAGAAGAATGTGGGTATCCAAAGAGTTTCTTGTTGACTTCCATAGTATTCTTTTCCATTCTATGAAAGTCAATGGTGACCAGCAACTGTTTGGTTACACACATTCTTTAAAATATCTTATTTTGTGTTCAGCAGAAGAAAGAAACTCATACAGGTTTGGAAAAACTTGAGGATGAGTAAATGATGACAGAATTTTCATTTATGGGTAAACTATTCCTTTATTGAGAATATGATAAAACCACAGATGGGATCCCAGATAATGAAAAATTCCAGTTGTAAATGAATGAACTCTGCCTGACATATTAAGACAATTGTAGTGTCATCTCCAAATCTGCGAGGTCTAGCTAAGTCATGCATACTGGTCTGGTGTGAAACACTGACACTCAAGTGCCACAGGTTCAAGTCGGGGTCACACGCTCCGCAATCTGAACAGGTAGCTATGTAAGTGTAGAAAATGAATTATTCATTCCAACAATTCGTCCTAGTCTTTGTGGAAAAGTGTAATATCACCTGTTGAGAACCGTATATAGGGTCTCTGATAACTTACCCATTAGAAGTTTTACAGCACTTGATGATACACGAGAGAGTAAGAGAGAAAGCAAACACAAGACTGTGCATTGTCTATTGATGTGTTTTCTTGAATCTCAAATGAGTCCTGACCTGTCGGAGCACATCGCAGTACCCTCAAAATTATTAGAGTCAGCCGGCAAAGCTGTATTCATGTTTCATTAGTCACAATATATCTAATCATCGTGCCTGTTTTCCCACTGCAATACAATAAGTGCTCTATGAAAGCATAAAATGCAATATCAAGCCCATATTTTAAGTCTCTTCTGTACAGTGTAAGTGAAGGGACAATCCCTGAACTGTGTGGCTCAACTCATCCGTAACTCTATTTTGCTGGAGTCCCAGTATTTCCCTGATTTGGCTTCATCATACATTAAATTAAAAATAGCCCTGAGGAGACAAAAAAGTACACTTTTGCATACTTTTAAAAAGAGAACTTATTACAGAAATAATATAGTTTAAAAGAATATACTTAAGTGCAAATTTAATGTAATGTTTTCTGACACTTGTTGCATTTTTTTGCAATTAAATAGACATTTATTATCGGTTATATTTAATGCAGTTAGCTGCACTTAAAAGTGCTTTTTGACCCACTTAAGTAGGACTTATGTGCATCTTTATGTTATTTCATTTTTTTCTATTGTCTTTGAAATACGTTTAAATACGCTGGTAAACTAAAATATACTTTAATGTCATTTCTATCTAAATGTGTATGTTATGAAATGAAATATATTTGTAATTACACATTTGCAATGGTGATATATTAACGTTTGTAAATAAAATATTGAATAACACACTACATTTGAAATTATAATTTGAAATGCTTAGTACGTTAGTCAGCACATCAAAATAACTGTACTTCTGTAAAGCACCACACAAGATTATTAAACATAATGATTTAAAATGTACTTTAAAGTAAAACTTCTAATTTGACATTATTACAAAGTAATTTTTTAAGTGTACTTAAGTGTGTTAAGAAATATAGTCATGAAAGTGTATCTCTTTAAATACACGTAAGTGGCCTTTTATTTCAGTAATATTATATTATCTGCATGCAACTTTTAAAAAATATACTTTTTTAGATTTGAAATACACTTCAAGTGTACATTCAATACAATTAAGCTAACTACTTTTTTTACGGAAAATAGTTTTAAAGCACCCCAAGGCTAAGACATGGGTCAGCAAGCCACCTCAGGTTAGATCACATGAGTTTATACACACCACGGTACAGTTTTGCTCTGATTCTGAGAAAAGTGAAGCAGAACAACTTCTAGTTATGTATTTACAAGGAAAACTGTTTCACTGTTAAGAGAGGCCAGTCATGCAAACATTTCACCATCACTTGTCCCGAGGCTAACAGCGAGTGTAGGAAAGGGACACAATTGTATTTGGTATTAAAATGAAGATGTTTATCATTTTTATGACTCTTTCATAGCTCAGGAGATATAATTTAGGAGTTCTCAGTTGCTTTTCGTTGATGTATCAACTTTGTCTTGGATGCTTATCCT